GGGAGGTGGGAGCATGCCCGTAGCCAGCTATGAGGTCACCGAGGTCCAGACCTCGGTAAATTTTTCATGTTCAGAAATAAAATTTGTTCTCTGAATGACAAGATGAATTGCTACTTAAAACTCCTCATATCAGTGTCTGCATGTTTAGACAGTTTGCAAGAATGTTTAGCGTCCGTGGTATGAAAATGATTGCTGCCAGACGCTGGCAGAGTGAAGGAGGCTTGAGAGAGTTGTGAGTGAGGGCAAAGAACTTATATTGGGCTTCTATACTCTTTGGTGAGGGTGCGGGCAGATCCAGCTATTATAAGTGATTAAGCGTCTTTGGACTCGTCTTTTTTTAATTTGACTTAATTTACTTCACTTAATTTGACACTTTAGAAAGGTAACAAAGTGGTAAGTTGTAGTTTAGGTTTAGCGATATATTCATCTTAACTTATTTGCAAAGGATTTGAAATAATGTTTTTAAAAAAAAGTAATGTATTATTTATTTTACGGATTTTATTTGTTTTCATAGCAATATCTGGCAACACTGATCGCCGGCACTTAAACTGACAGTAATTAAAAAAGCCCACGGACAGGTTATTGCTGACAGGATACCACATTCAGTAAGGCAAATGCAAAAAAAAAATATATATATATATATATATTTATAAAACAGTAGCATTTAACAGTAGTAGGCTATGAAATATGCAAACACTAGCCATGACGAAGTCTATTTTATTTCTTTCAGTATAGTAGTTAAATTTTCACAGTCATGCTAAAAACATTCATAAGAGCGCTAGACAAAGTTATTATATAGCAATGGTTATTCATGAAAACTATAAAAGTAATATGTATTGATGCATGAATAATAAACAACTGATAAAATTATCCACCCCTAACCTATAGTAAAATATAAAACATTTTGATGCAATAAATATAGTATAATTTTGGTACAATGTTCCCTCCAAAACAGATAAAACATCTTTCACAAACATCTACATGTCTGTATCTAAAGTGTTAGTGTATATAATGAGTTGTATTTGTAGGGGTTATTATTGCACAATTCTTAACCCCACCCCAGACCTCACTAATTTTCAAACCCTGGCTACGGCCATGGGTGGGAGGGGCCATTATTGATTTCCAGTGTGGGCATGCTGATGCATTATCAAACAAACCACACAAAGGACTTTTTGCTTGTAGAGCCTGATGGCAATTTTTGAGCAATGTGTGTTTTTATTCTGCTTCATATTTAGTGGTGGTGCAAGACATGGTCTGTATCACTGTAGTGCATGATAGTAGAATCAGTCAGAATAAAGCACAGAGAATTAGGATTGCTTAATGTAAAAATGAATAGTATGTTAAAATTTATAAATAAACTAGAGAGGGGGAGAGAGAGAGAGAGAGATGTATACTTATAAAATAATGTAATATTATGTTTATTTTATAATAGTATGTATAATATATATGTAACCTGTGCTTGAAAGTATGATATAGAAGAATCAGTCATGACAAAACATTTACTTAATGTAAAAATTATAAGTAAATTAAATGTATATATTATTTATAAATGTAATATTAGATTATCTTATATAGACTTATATGCAATACATACATACACATACACACACACACACACACACACACACACACACACACACACACACATATACTGTATATCTATATATAAAATATAAATTTTTATATTAAGTGATTTATACATCAAACATACAATGTATTTTTTGACCAGTTGCCACAATATCTACATTTCAAGCCAAGGGTGTGGTCTGCAGGCGGCGAATACTCTTTTCTAATTACAAACCCTCTGATATTTTACAGCAAAAACTCTTGATTAGATCACAGTTTTGCACACATACAGATGCAGTCGTCTGTGTGAGATCTTTTTCACCTGCTCACCAGCCGGCTGACCTGAATTACTTGCTTCAGTGAGCTGTCTATCGTCCTTATCTCACTCTGACTAGACAGCAGGAGAGAAATGCTTACGAGGTCTGGGAACACTCAATATCACAGCACTAAACCTCCATTGCCATCCCCTCAATTTACCGGAAGAAATGGCTTGCTCAGGTAATTACTAATTAAAGCCCCCTTCACCAAAATTCTCACTTCTTCCCTTCCCGGTTTTCTCCATCCTCTGTTTGTGAGGGATTGATAACCTCATCAGGGAGCAAGAAGAAGTTGATCAGATTTTTCCTCTGGGCAGAGAGTGAAGAAAGTAGGTTGATGCTGGAAAGGATAAAAGCAGTTTGAAATCTAGCTGAAAAAACCACAAGCATTCATGGTTTGATAACATCAACAGCGCACTGGCCTTGATAAATGCTGCCTTGTGTGTTAAAAAAAAATCAGATACATTAATGTTCTTCATTTAGCATCTGCCATCACTGATGTTTGTATGATTTAGGTTTGTTTGCCCGTAAGCATTTAATGTTGAAAAAGAAAAATGAATTTGGGGATGAGGACTGATTGTGGTAGGATCAATGTAGCCGTCATAAACCACCATCTGGCCTTGTCTGGCCTTTGGTTTTCTCTGGTCTTGCCGACTCACTCCCAGCACACACACCCTCAGTAGTCAGAGTAAAAATGGATTCCAATAAATAATGTAACACTAAAGGCTGGGTGGTGGGGGATGGTGGAGCTTGTGGTGAACATTGTCTTGTAGGAAACCAGAGTTTGTGAAGACACGTCTGCTGGTTTTTCCTTAGAAAGCTCAAATGAAAACAAAGACAGAGTGCTGTTGAGACTTGCTTCATTCATTCATTCGTTTGTTCGTTCGTTGCTTCATTCATTCATGTATTTATTTATTTAATGCTTTTTAAATACTGTTTGGTTTCTGGCACAAACCGATCGTTTCGTGTCTTAGGACATCAATGTGTCGTCACGAGCCGCAGGGTTTAATTTGGATTTGTCTGTGCATGTTTTTTTTACTCTCATAGATTTTGTTACCATTGCCATGCATTATACGACTGATAGACTGCAACGGCTGGAGTTAAAAATCATCATATGTGTTCTACTGAAGAAACAAAGTCACCTACATCTTGGATGCCCTGGGGGTAAGCAGATAAACATCACATTTTCATTTTTGGGTGAACTATCCCTTTAACGATGCAGTTTCAAAAAATCATTCATCATTCATTCAAAACAGTGAGAGAGAATGTGGATCAATACTTTATTTGATGTGTCTCCCTGCAGCATACAAAGAGACGATGAAGGAGCTGTCCCTCGTCTCCCTCATCTGCTCCTGTCTCTACCCAGAGGCACGCAAGAACATCATGGGTGAGTTTGAAGGTAGGAAATGAAAATAAAATACCAGTAATGAGAAGTTGTGTAGAAGGAATTTACAATAATATGCTGTGCTTTATAGTGCTCATTCTGTCTGATCTTCATAATATAACATTTTATTGGCCTGTATGTGTACCAGCAATACTACACATTTATTATCTTAACAGCTAATATCGATCAATAAATGTCTGATAAATGTTCAGAATGGCTTTATAAGTTATACGAGCTCATTTCATGAGCTGAAGGCAGTTGGTGCATTTTATTGCATGGATCTGGATGCTCAAACTCCACCAATGTGTAGATGAATATTTGCTGCCTGACATACTGCAGTTTCTACACTGCATTTATTTCACTTTATGTCTTGTGTCTTTAGACATGGAGGTTAAGCCCATTAACAAGCGGGCTTCTGGCCAGGCCTTTGAGGTCATCCTGAAGCCACCCTCTCCCACGGCTGACAGCTCCTACAGCATCACTACACCTCCTAAAAAGAGGGACATGTCCCTGGAGGACATCCAGAAGAAGCTGGAGGCAGCAGAGGACAGGAGGAGAGTGAGTTACCCATTCATTTGTATTATATCTGAGTATATAACTTATGTTTGATGTTTGCCCAAAAAAAAGTTTTTACACTTTTATGTAATGTGAATTGATAAACAGTTGATTCCTATGACTCTGCCCCACTCTTCCTCTCCAGTCCCAGGAGGCTCAAGTCCTGAGGGCCCTGGCTGAGAAACGTGAGCATGAGCGGGACGTCCTGCTGAAAGCCATGGAGGAGAACAGCAACTTCAGTAGGATGGCAGAGGAGAAACTCATCATGAAGATGGAGCAGATCAAGGAGAACCGCGACACCCACATTGCAGCAATGCTGGAACGACTGCATGAGAAGGTACATATTAGTCTCTTATGCTGCATTTATTTAATCAAAAATACAGTCAAAACAGTAAGTACAAAACAGGGTGATATTGTAATATATTATTACAATTTAAAATAAACTTATTTCTTTATTCAATGTATTTTAAAATGTAATTTGTTCCTTTGATGCAAAGCTCAATTTTCACCATCATTACTCCAGTCTCCATTGTCACAAGATCCATCAGAAATCATTCTAATATGCAGATTTTTTGCTCAAGAAACATTTCTTATTATCATAAATGTTGAAAACAGTTGTGCTGTTTAATATTTTATGTGAAAACAGTGATACATTTTTTTCAGGATACTTTGATGAATAGAAAGTTCAAAAGAACAGCATTTATTTCGATTTAGCATTTAGGCTTAGTAATGTGAATTAAAAAAAACACAAATATTACAATTAAATGCATAATTTATCCCACACTATTTTTATGTTACCAACATGTACAATACCACCGATTTTAAAAACTTCTTGAGAAACTGGCATGCTGTAACCGTGAAAAGTTATCTGACATTGTGATTTTTACAAGATAGAAGATAAAACAAGCAAAGAAAAAAAAAATCATGGCATAATTTTCTTCATCCAATCAATCAATAAATGAATAAAGTAAATAAATAAAAATCTACTCTGATTTTCTGTCACAAGAGGGCGCTACAGTTCAATAAAAACATTGCATTGTAAAGGACACTAGTGCTACCAAAAGCATTTTAAAACAGTATATCATCTTTAAACTATAAACTGTAATGTTTATGTTAATTTGGTGTATTATTTCTCTATTTGCTTTTAGGAGAAGCACGCTCAGGAGGTGCGCAGAAACAAAGAGCTGAGGGAAGAGTTAACAGCATGAGCACATCTCTCTAGACCCACTGTCCCATCACCTCACAACACTCCCATCCCCTTACCTGCGACCTCCCGTCCTCAGAGAGACCCCCTCTCACCCCGACACCTCTGCACCATGTAGAAAAGAGCCTCTGGCACCCCTGCCCTGCCCCGCCCAGACGAAGGGAATCGACCCTGCCCCCCTCACCAGCAGCAAATGTTTTTGATCAAGTTGAAACCAGTCAAAGTGGGTGTGGTTTTTTGTAAATATTTCCTATTTGTTTTATATGAGATAATTAAAAGTATTGCAGTGTGCCATTTTATAAGTTTCTCTCTGAATCTTTCTCTTTTAGTGGATGTACTTGTTTCCTCTCTCTCTCTCTCTCGCTCTCTCTCTCTATCAGATCTGCTACAGTTTCTCTTGTACGAGGCTTTAGTGTTTGTGAGTTTGCTGGCTAGCAATATCTTCTCTAAACCCAACAATCATTTTAGTGTCTCTATGTCCATGTGGAGAGAGTAAAAGCCGTCACAGTACGGTACACACAGCTTTAACCGGTCACTATCATTGCATTTACAACAATCTTTAGCTCTTTCTTCATACATTCATCTGGTATATAGTCACAACACACAGACACACACACTTATATGAACCCAGTCAGAATGATTTCAGTAAAAAAATGACACGTTGCTTAAGAGGAGCTGTGGTTTGAGCCACACCGAAGTCATGTGACGTCTCTCGACCCGTGTTTAACCATAGTCTGGGTTGCATTGTTGCTGACGCGTAGCATCAAGTTAACCTTAAATTCCTGAGAATCGCTTTAAGTTCTCAATTCTGATTCTTCAAAGATTTAGGGGATTTCAGAGGGGGATTTCAGGTGATAAAAATGGATGCCGTGTGTAAATGTGTGTGTGTCAAGAGCAGTGTGGTTGGATGGTGTTACCATGTGCCATGTGCAAAGTGGCTTTAATGTCACAAACCTGCCCACCCTCATCTTTCTCTTCCAGCTGTGTGTTTTATTCCCTTCACACATGTAACTTTGAGAGCATAAGCTGTGGTAAATAAAGGCTTGGGGTTCTTGAAATGAGAGTATCTGTCTTTGGCTCCATTTTTATTTCATATAACATACATTAACATAAACACATAATTCCACTTCAAGTTTAACAGCTATGCTGTAGGCCAGTGGTTTTCAAACCTCTCCATGAAGTACCCCCAGCACTGCACATTTTGTATGTCTCCCTATATCTGACACACCCACTTCAGGTCTTGCAGTCTCCACTAATGAGCTGATGAGTTGAATCAGGTGTGATAGATGAGGGAGACATACAAAATGTGCAGGGCTGGGGGTACTTCATGGAGAGGTTTGAGAACCACTGCTGTAGGCCACAAAAAGCGAATAAACATAACCATGTGTGAAACTACCTGAAGTGTAATACCCTAGTTTACCAACAGATGGCAACACATGACTTTGCAAGAAAACGTCTCAGGTTACTTATGTAACCATGGTTCCCTGAGTAGGGAACGAGACACTGCGTCCTCTAGGGGTCGCTATGGGGGGGACGCTTAGTACTAAGTTAGTATTCAATTTCAAACATGGCCTTAGTTATTGATAGATAGTACAGTAGTTTAGTAGTTGTTGTGCAGAATTACTGCATATGCACAGCATATACAGCCTTTTATGTTATTTTAGTTTTTTTAAATATATGAAACAGATATGAAAATATATGCATATACATACATTGTCTTTGCTTGACCTAATTATGTGACAATACCTGTGTTTAATTCAGTGAGTGGCATCCAGCCATCATCTTGGACATACTTAATTTTGCAATCAGTTTTGTGTAAAAGCTTCAAACAAATAATGAGTCATGAGAAAATTTGTGAATTATTTCTGGACCATTCATGTTGAATTTTGGAATATAGTAGTACCTAGCACTGTATGCTGTGTTGCATACTGCACATTTTGACAAATGTAGTAGGTCATCCACTATTTTATGCATGCAGACAATTTGCATACTGCATAAATAGTATAGGTAGTATGCTATTCCAAACCTAGCCATTACTGCTACATTATCTCCTTAATATTTCAGGTTAAGGAAATCCAACCATCACCTCTGGGGGGGAATGAATGGAAAAACGTGCGATAAAAACCTCTAAAATAGATTTAACAGTAGCTAGAGAAATAAAGAGTTGTGTTGGCAGAGTGCTGTTTGTAGGTGGGAATCTGTTTTACGGCTTTGGCTGGCAGTCACAGTACCCGTGGTGGCGTGGGAGTGCACCACACCAGGAGCTCAGTGAGATGCTGTGATTGCTTTGGGACAAAGCTGCACTGTGCGGCCCTCTCCTCCCACTTTTCCATCTCTCTCATTCCTTCTCTTCTCTCTCTATACCTCTCTCTTTCCTCCCTGTGCAGTCCAGGCCAGCCAGGCTGCCATTGTCCAGGATATCCCTTGGCTGTTAATGGCTTCCTGGATACATAGAGAGGCCACAGAGAGGCCCCTGGGTCATGTTTGATATCAGTTTAAAACGCACGCATACAGGCACTGGTTCAAGCCCTATAGAAATGTGCAGTGCCTCATCTCGCTGGCATGAAAGGAACTATTCATCCCCAAAGCATTAAATCACATGTAAGGCTTATTTGTGTATATCCACCTGTGAAGAGCGAGGGTGACTGGAACATTTCCAACACGCCAACAATTCCGAACGATAAAATCATGAATGTAGTTTTCTTTGACTGTTTACATATAAAGTTCTCAGGCTGTGAGGTTTGCCCTAACAACATACTGATTTAGATGTCTGTCATTTTGTAACAAAAAATGTGTAATCATTTTGATTGGGAACGCACCAGTTTTAAATTTCTGGCTTATGCCAATAAGATGCTAATAATTGTTATGCAATGGCCAATAATTAAAAATGGCCAAACGTTAAAATTATATTATAATTAATTAAACATTATATTATAATTAATTGTAAAATTAAATCTTTTTTATCTAAATGAATTTCAAATTAATAAAACATTAAACGCAATAAACTAAAACCAATCATTTAAAATGAATTGAATTTATGCATCACAACATTATAATGTACAGTATAAAAAATAGATATTCATTTTGAGACTTATCAAAAATGCATCTATTTAAAATTTCTGGGTGATGCAAATAAGCTGATAATTATTTTTATGTAATGGCCAATAATTAAAAATAAACGAATAATATTAAAATTGCGCTATAATTATATTCATTATAAAATTAAATACATTTTTTATCTAAATAAATGTCAAACAAGTAAAAAATAAAACACAAAAAAACTAAAACCAATAATTTTAGATACTGCATTTGATTTTATGCATCACGACAGTAAAATGTACAGTATGAAAAATAGATATTCATTTTGAGATTTGTCAAAAATGCAGCAATTTTAAATAAAAACATTTTAAATGCATTTTAAATGCTGCATTTATGAATATTAAATGCTGAACTACATCTATGCATCAAAAATTGTAATGAACAGTATGAAAATTTGTTTTTCTTTTCATTAGTTGTTTAAAAATTACATTTAACATTTTTATTAATTGTAAAAGATCTCTAATATTGACTGATAAGTGCTATGGTACCACTATATTCGCATTTGTTTGAATGTATCAATGACAATGTCAAAAAATAAAAACAGGACATGAACACACAAGTCCAGGGTTATTAGCTACACTTATCATTTTATTACAGGAAAATCACACAGGTTAGTGAGGGACAGGCACAGTACCACACCATCTCTTCCAGTACTATCTATTCCCCTAGTCTCATCTGATCAAATTCCCTATTACCACAAAACGATCTGGTTTTCCAAAACACTCCTCAAGTACAGTTAACTAAAAGAGAGAGAGAGAGAGAGAGAGATGATTTGTTGCATGAAGGGGGAACATATGCATGTGAGCAAACAACTCTACTACGAACAAACCCAAGAGTGCCTTTGCTACAATTCAATTAGTGCAGTTTTGAGAGATTGTCTATCTAGATTGTCTCTGTAAAGGTTTAACAGTGGTCTGTCCCTGCAAACAACAAATTCATTACATTTTAAACAAATAAACACACACCGCAGGTCACTGACCAAAATGACTTAAAATCTTTATAAAAATAAAGTACTCATCATGTTCAGCTGACTAATACAGATTCAGTTGCATAGGTTTCATATACATTTGCAGAGGGAAAACTGCAAAAATCAATGTCAACTTCATTGCATAGTATTTCAATTTCATGGAAACGCTGAACAGATTTCCTCAAAAAATAAGTCTGATTTCATTCTCTTACAAATCCTGCCTTTTATTCTGAAGGAGATGATTTAGGATGCAAATATATGTTTCATGTGATCAAAGCACTCCTTTACCATCTTTAACATAATTAAAGGGATAGTTCACCTCAAAAAAAAAATAAAATAAATAAAATTCTGTCATCATTTGCTTTACCTGAAGGGGTGAACTGTCCCTTTAAATGGACATCTGGTTTGAGTTTAACTCCATTAACACCCATTCAGTGATGCATCTCATCTGCTTTTGCTCCAAATTACCTCTCTCTCTCTCTCTATTAGCATACCTTGCTCCACTGAGGGAAAAAAATAACTAGATTTGCTCAAAAATGATGTGCGAGAACCCGACCATCTCCAGAACTCATCTCTCCTCAGACCGAGACAGGACAGTTTTAAAAGACAGGGTAATTGGAATAAGTACACCGGATCTGTATTCACTTTTTCCCTTTGTACAAGTCTGCGGTCTTCTGTCCATCTCTTCAAGTCAGATGTTACAGAAAATAAGTAATTTCTAACTGACTGTCTGTCCACAGCGTTCATGTTTTTGTGTTCAGAAGGCCCCTATTTCAATGCTCCAAGGCCTGTAGGGCTTCCCCAGGCTGCTGGAGGGAGTTGCGTGGCCCAGCGAGCTCGGGGACAGCAGAGGAAATGCGCTCAGCGGGATGGGAAACGCCGACAGGCTCGAAAGTGACGTCAGGAGGGGTGGCGAAAGCTTGGATGTAGTAGGTGGTGTGAGACCAGGGTGCAGGGAGGTACTGGGCAGCACCCGCAGCGGTCCTGTCTGTCCTGCCTCAGTAATCACCGTGCCAGTCAGCCTGCTGGGGGCATGCGGCTCTGTGGAGGAGGCGGATGGAGATGAGGAGGAGGGCGATGAAGAACTGGAGGATGGAGGGCTGCTGGTGCTGCGCGGCTGCTGCAGGAGGAGATGGTGAGCCAGGTGTCCGGGCGGCGTCCCAAACGCAGAGCCCCACGCCAAGTGGCCCAAACTCGAATGAGCTTCTCTCTGGGAGGCGTAGCTGTTCAGGTGCGAAACCAGGCGGATGCGGAGGGGGTCGGTGTTGTCCAGGCCCTCGATGATACTGAGGTAACGTACCATCTCCGCCAGACATTCGCGGAAACCCAACCCACGGTAATCCATGGCCAGCGCATGAGCATCAAAGTAACCTGTGTGAGAGAGAACGAGAGCTGTTGAGCGACTTGATCTGAAAATGATTACAGTTTATGACAGGAAACACTGCAGTTCACACTGGGAGTGGCTGAGAGTGAAACTGAAATGATGCTAGATAAACAACTGAGATTAAAAGACACTTTACACATCTAGTTCGTCCTGTTTCGGTCGTGCAGGGGTTAGTAATTATTTTCACTGTGTGCATTTCCTTGAGCAGATTCCAAAACATTGGATGATCTCATAATGCAAGGTTGCAACCTAGGTTAAACCTAGCAAGATTTTAAATCTGATTTTTTTTGGTCATTAGAGTCATTAGAAAATATTATAATGCATAAAAGACCATCAGTTAATGTACGTTAAAGTAGTGAAATTTTTTTGTTTATTAATCAAAATCAGTGTGTTTTCTTTCAAATAAGTGCTAGTTAAAAACTTACCTTTTCCTCCAGCTGCATGAAGCATCTTTAAATGGTCTACGGTCATCTGTAAAATTTCTGCTTTTTCTAGTTTAGCAGAGCCCTGAGAACAAGAACACATGTGTTGAGTTATGAGGGAAGACTAGATATGTATGCTGTGTGGCTCTATGATGAATAAGAATACTTGTGATGATAAAGAGTTTTTTTAT